TTACGGTACGGCGGTTACGTACGACGTACGTAGGACGAAATAACTTACGTTACTACGTTTCCTACCACTAGTCGTCTGTAGTCTCTCTACTATATATATATATATATATATATATATATACAAGAAACTAAATAGAAAAGAAAAAAAGCTAAAGAAATAGATGGATATAAACTTTTGTATACAAAAAAAGATAATGATAGAAATGGCATAGGCGTAATAATAGACAAAGATTTAAAAGATAAATTATTTACTACTAAATGGATAAGTGATAAACTCTTATTAATTAAACTTGTATTAGGGGAAGAGATAATTAACTTAATTAGTGCCATATCCACCACAAGTAGGATTAGATGATAGATTTAAGAGATAATTTTGGGAGGACATAGAATAGTCCAAGACATATCAAATGGAGAGGGGACCTTTTAGGAGGGGACTTAAATGCTCATGTAGGGAAGGAAAGTAGAGGATATAAAGGGGTACATAAGGGATATGGATTTGGGGAAAGAAATGACATGGGTGAGGCTATAATAGATTTTGCTATGGCCTACGACCTAGCAATAACAAACATTTACTTTAAAAAGCAAGATGATTCACATAAAGGCCCGATAGACCTCTTTCTAGTTAAGAAGGTAGATCAACCATCATGTAAAGACTGCAAGGTTATCTTAGGAGAGAGTTTGACTACCCAACATAGGCTTGTGGTTATGGACGCTTTCATAAAGACAAGGAAGAGAAGGGGTGAAAGTAATAGGGGTTCAAGAACTAGGTGGTGGAATTTTAAGAGTGAGAAAATAGATTTATTTAGGGATAAAGTAGTTGAAGAGAGAAAATGGCAACATGATGTCAATGAGATATGGAATAAGATGGCTTATTGTATCAAGAAAGTGGCACAAGAAGTTTTAGGATAATCTAGAGGGAAAAAAACTTCGATAAGGAAACTTGGTGGTAGAGTGATGAGGTTTAGAAGGCCATAAGCGAAAAACGATCATGTTATAAAACTTGGAGGTATAATAGAAATGATCAAAACTTACAAGAATATAAAAATGCTAAGAAAAATGCTAAGCAAATAGTAAGCAAAGCTAAACTTAAGCCATATGATAATCTATACAATAAACTTGAAACAAGATAAGGTGAAAAAGATATCTTCAAATTAGTAAAAATAAGAGAGAAAAAATGTAGGGATCTACCATATTAAATGTATTATGAGTGATGATCAAAGGGTCTTAGTGAAAGATGACGAGGTCAACGAAAGGTAGAGAGTTTATTTTAAAAAATTATTAAATGACCAACACAATGGGAACATAGCGATAGAAGGAATTGGTGGTATAAATGACAGCGGATGTCATAGATACATTTGTTGGATTAGGATGTCGAAAGTAAAATAAGTTTTGAAAAGGTTGAAGATAGGAAAGGCTTTAGGACCAAATGATATACCAATAGAGGTTTGCAAGTGTATGGGGGAGATTGGTATTGACTGGCTGACGAAGCTGTTCAACAATGTGTAGAGAACAAAGAAAATGACAGACGAATGGAGGAAAAATATGGTGGTACCTATTTACAATAATAAAGGAGACATACAAGATTGTGCAAACTATCGAGGGACCAAGCTTATGAGCCATACTATGAAGCTCTGAGATAGAGTGATTGAGCAACGATTAAGGAATGAAACGAGTGTATCTTAAAACCAATTTGGTTTTATGCCAGGAAGGTTAACAACTAAGGCTATTTTCCTACTTAGGCAACTGATTGAGAAGTTTAGGACGAAGGGAAAAGACCTCCACATGGTCAATAAATCATCTAAAGAATGCTTATGACAGAGTACCTCGAGACTTGATTTGACGGGTGTTGGAAAAGAAAGGAGTTTTCAGACACTACATCGACTTGGTGAGAGATATGTATAATAGAGCGCTAACTAGTGTACAAACAACTAGTGGAGAGACGAGTGAGTTTTCAGTGACAATAGGTCTATATCAAGGGTCAGCATTAAGCTGTACCTCTTTTTCTTAGTTATAGATGACTTAACTAGGTACCTACAGGATGAGGTACCGTAGTGTATGTTGTTCGCATATGACATAGTTTTGATCTACGAGGCCGAATTGGCATCAACACAAAGTTAGAACTTTGAAGGGATGCTCTAGAATCCAAACGTTTTAAAATTAGCCGGACTAAGATAGAATATATGACCGCAAGTTTAGTAATAATAGGAGTAGAGATGAGGAAGTAGTTAAGATTGACAACCAAGAAGTACAAAAAGACCGCACTTTCGATATCTTGGGTCAATAATCCAAGAAGATGGGGAGATTGAGGAAGATGTCACACGCATAATTAGAGTTGGGTGGGTGAAGTGGAGATGTGCAACTAGAATTTTATGTGATCGCCGTATACCAATTAAGCTGAAGGGCAAGTTTTATGGGACAATTGTGAGACCTGCTTTGCTCTATGGGACTGAATGTTGGGCAGACAAAAAACAATGTTATACCCATAGAATGAATATAGGGGATGAGGATGCTGAGATGGATGAGTGGTAAGACAAGAAGGGATAGAATTCAAAATGAATTCATTGGGGAGATTTTAGGTGTGGCACCAATAAGAGATAAGATGAGAGGGAGTAGACTTAGATGGGCTAGCCATGTGTGTCACCGACCAAGTACAACACCTGTTAGCAGGTGCGAGTTAGTTCAAGTGGAAGGACTTAAAAAGGCAAGGGATAGGTCTAAAAGGATGTATTTGGAAGTAGTTCGAAACGATATGGGGACATATGGCCTCACTGAGGGTCTAACCTTTAATAGAGCTGAATAGCGGAGTAGGATTTGTATAGCCGACCCAAATTAATTGGAAAAAGGCTATGATGATGATGATATATATATATATATATATATATATATATATATATATATA